AATAGGATAATACAATGAAATGATAATCCAAAAAACTTCAAAGAAAGAATCAGATTCCAATTGAATACCCTAGAGCCGAGGTTCTCAACCCGTGGGTCGTGACCCCTTTGAGGATCGAACGACCCTTTCACAGGGGTCGCCCGATACATAACAGTAGCAAAATTACAATTATGAAGTAGCAACAAAAATAATTTTATGGTTGGGGGTCACCACAACATAAGGAACTGTATTAAAGGGTCACAGCGGTTGGAAGGTTGAGAACCACTGCCCTACAATTCTAATATGGGGAAAAATTAAGCAGTTTATTGTGTAGAGATGTATATAGCACAGCTAATAAGGAAAATTATTCTCCCTATCAAGTATGAGGCAGCGGAGCGAAAGGATGTGATCAGAAAGAGACACAAAGAGAGGCCCAGGAACACTGCTCGTGTTCTATTCTGCAGCATCAGTGGCAGGTAGCAGTACTCCTAAAGGTGTGTGTGCATGGGCTATGCATCAAGGATCTCACGCACAGAGCAATCAACCCATAGAAGAATACACAGAGTGTGGTTCTATTATGATGTTTAAGACATGGAAAAAACAAATCATATATTGCTTAGGAATTACCAACACAGTAGGAAAATTATAAAGGAAAGAAAGGCATTGGTTAATGGCAAATCTCTGTTGCCCTTCCCTCTTTGGGGAAAGAAGAGAAATCTGAGAGAGAGAGTAGGGGAATAAATACAAGGAGGGGGGTTCCTAAGTCTATAACAATATATTCTTTCTCAACGTAAGTGGAAGGTACATGGGTTTTTAGTTTACTACCTTTCATTAACTAGTTGGGTAGATGTGCTTTATTATGCCATTTTGTATACACTCTCACTGCTGGCTCAATGCTCGAATCAATGCTGGCTCATAGGGGCCCTGTGGGGTTCTGAGACTTTGACTGTTTCAGGAGTAGAGAGCCCAGTCTCTCCCATGGAGCTGCTGGTGGTTTCAAACTGCCGAGTATGTGGATCGCGGCCACTGCATCACCGGGGCACTTGCATGTACTGGACAATAAACTTTAAAAATAACGTTAAAAATGAAGTAATTTGTAATTTAATTGACACATGAGGAATTCTCAAAACACACTGCCATCTAGTTGA